ATAGCGATCCCTCCTTGGGTTTCTGAGGCAGTATCACTATGGAAGTAGATTGCCCAACCTTCCTTCCGAGGAGTGGCTGGTGGGTTTGAACCGCCTGCCTTCTGGTTAGCAGTCAAGTGCTTTAGCCACTATGCTACCAGAGCTCCTGCCCTGGGAGCTGGAACTACAACACGACGGGGCGTGGAGGTGGGGGAACCAGACGTTCCTCTCACAATCTGAGTCTCACAGGTTGGGGGCCAGAGGCTGCGTCCAGGCCAAGGCTCTAGGGGCAGGCGCGCTCTGTTGCTGCAGGGGAAGCTCCTGGTCTCAGCGTCTGCAGCCCCCACATTCCTGGTCCAGACCTTTGGGGGCATCTGTCTGCTCACTCCCTTCTGAGTCTCAGGGCTCTGTCTCTATTTCAGAAGGGACAAGGATTAAGACACACCCCACATGGTTACAGCTTTATTAACATAACAAAACCCACTGCCATCCTGACCAGGGAAAGTCATTGTACCATAATAACCACACCCACTGCCTGGAGTCCATCCATTCTGACCCACAGCGCCCCTAGAGGACAGAGTGGAACTGCCCACAGGGTCTCCAAGGCTGTCATCTTCACAGAAACAGACTGCCTCATCTTTCCCTTGTGGAGCAGCTGGTAGGTTCAAACGAAGCTGAGCACTTAACCACTGTGCCACATCCTTCATAAAGTCCTTAGAATGTTTTGGTTTGACCTTTGAGGTCCCCTAGACCCAGCGCCCGTGACCCTGATCTCAGCATACCACGACCCCAGCTGTGAGAGTGGCTGCCCTGCTGTGGTTTACCACCTCCACCCCACCTTCTGTTTTGCCTGGGAGGCGGGGCTCTCAGCCCCCCTCAAGTCCGTTCCTGGGGACACTGTCCCTGGACGTGCTCCTCCCCCATGCCCGCCCTGCTACCCCAGTTGGGAACTCCAAGGGGAACTATCTGATCTCTTGCGCGTCTCCAGCCCAGGCAAAGCCAGAAGTTCCTTGAGCGTCCCCAAGCACACCTGGACCCATCCTGGGGCAGAATTGCCACCCAGACTTGACCTGTGTGAAAAGGGCAGGGGGACAGTATCGTCCAACCTCTCACTTCACAAGGGGGAGGAGGATGGAGATCAACAGCCCAAGGCTGATTCCTATGAGGCAGGGCTCAGACATGCCTCAACCGTCCAACCTTTTTACCAACTCTGACCCCTACTGTCCCTCCCACAACACTGTCTGCTTCTCTGCTGGGCTTGGTAATTCATTGTGGTGGCCACACAGACGGTACTCATGATTGTGGGGTTTATTAGGGAAGTGACAGATTAGAACTCAGGATCAGAAACAACTCAGGGTGCAGGCCTTCAGTCAGGACAGCCTCTTCTCAGCCCTGACGCAGGCACGCTCCTCTCTGGCCTCAGCCTCTCAGCCCTGCAGCCCCTTGGCCTCTGCCCTGCTCGGGCCAGTGTTACAAAGCTCTGTAGCTCTGCACATAGGTGCCCAGAGAGGCACCCCACTCCGCCAGCAAGCCTCCTACTTGAAGGCACTCAGCTTTCTTGCCGTGGGCCAGGAAGCCCTCTGCTCTGCATCTCGCAGGGGTCTTCTGCCATTCTCCCCGCCTCAGCCAAGTCTCACAGCTTTCTCTCTCTCCTGGGTCGAGGAGGTTCAGTGCAGGGATCTCGGGCTCAAAGGGCACACTCTACTCTTGGCTCCTCTTTCTTGATGGTAGTAAGACCCCCCTTTCCACCTCTGGGAGGGCTCCTTTTCAGCCGAGAGGGATGCCAAAACTGACCAATCACCTCATTAGGGTTCCCTGACCTGTATTTGCATGGTCCCACCCCCTCCAGTGTGCCAAGCATCTTATTTACAATATTAACAAGCCATCCAATCCCCTTAGTGGGCTGCAGCTTCTCACATTTGCAAAGTCCCACCCTGTCACTGGTGGGAATGACCAAGACTGTGGCTAGAAGAACCATGTGAAGTCACTTGGTGCATTGCACCCCGTCAGTGTGGACTGTCGGTCAGAAGCCAGGCAGGTGGAGGTGTGGGGAGAGCCCTCTCTGGGTGGTGGCTTTGCTCCTGGCCCTGAGTTCTGTTCTCCCAGACCAAACCTCCATGGTCATTTGGAAACCCGCCCCACCCATCCTCTGGCCCCCAGTTCAACAGGCATGTGCCCTCTGGTACCTCTCACACCTGTCTCCCCAGAACCTCTCAAACCTGTCTTCCCCCAGGACCTCTCACACCTGTCTCCCTAGAACCTCTCACACCTGTCTCCCTCTCCCCAGGACCTCTCACACCTGTCTCCCCAGGACCTCTCACACCTATCTCCCTAGAACCTCTCACACCTGTCTCCCTAGAACCTCTCATACCTGTCTCCCAGGAACTCTCACACCTGTCTCCCTAGAACCTCTCACACCTGTCTCCCC